ATCAAATTGCTGCGCGGCCCCCATGAGCAGAATGGGCAAGGGGACAAAAGGGAATATTTCATCTTCGGCTCTGGGATCCGAGTGTGAAATTTGCATGGAAATCTTAGTCTCGGCATGGACATCCCCTCAGGGCTGTCGTGCGGCAAGAAAATCGTCACCTTCCATTCTTTGTCAGTGGCATATCCTCAGGTATGGAACAAGAGGCGGATGTTGAGTGGATCGCAATGTGCTGGAAGAGACGGAGAAAAAGTCCTGGTTGAGGCCGATTATCTCTGGACGCCGCGCCAACCACATGTTCATTCTGCCGTTCCAGCGTTCCAGCGGCCCTCTAACGACGTCATCGCCCATGAAAGGTGCCCACCAAGCCCACTACTGCCCCGATTCTCTGGGGGCGCCTGTCCCTAAAGAGCTTAACAGGCAGTGGTGGCAGGCGTCACCAGCCCCAAAGAGCAATAGGGAAAGCCTGTGTGCAGCGTGCAAGGCGCTTCGTGCCAGGCGTAGGATTGCGCATTCCTTCCCCAAACCCACCTTTATCATCTGGAAACGGGCATCCTTGTGGCATGCCGCATGCTTGTCAATAGCATCCTGCCAAGCTGATTGCATGATGCCGCTTCTGGCGAATCGCACCTGCTTGTGGCAGCGCATGTCTCGCAATATCTGCTGCCCCAACTTGCCCTCCAACTGCTGAAAGAGCTGCATACACATATCGGCCCGCTGCTACCCAGAATATCCCAGAGTCCAGCAGGCTTTGGCTCGCTCATTAGTAGTCTTCAAGCCGTTCTCCTTGTCCCAGTCGCGAGTCAGCGCAGCGACACCTTCTCGTCGCCATTTCAGCCCGGTGCTTATCGTCGGATGGACGATCGCTCTCCTCTTCATCTTACCCTGAGATTCATCCTCATTCTACTTCTAATCCACATTCTCCTTCTCTCCTGGTCGCTCGTTTGTTTCTTGAAAAGTGTCTGAGGCGAGCTTCTTTTCCTCTGCCTTGTTCTGCCACTGCTGTGATACGCTGGCAGCCAACCGTCACTTTGGAAAAAAAGCTCCATTGCACATGCATGTGCTTGCGGTCGTTACATCCCCCGTCAATCCTCACGTTGCGGCGTTATCAACAGCACTGTTCGAGTTACACTTAAGAGCGCCTCCTTTGTCGTGTCGCTGAAATCCATGATTGGCTTTTAAACGCCCTCAACCTCAATCTCTCAGTTAGCAGTCATGCCCTTCTTCAAAGAGTTGCGCCGCCGATCAAAAGCAAGCTTCCGAACCTCCGACTCCTCAGCAGAATCCAATGGCACTGTTCCGACTGCAAAATCGTCCTCTACACTGAACTCCGCTCCCGGAAGCGCAACACCGCCTTCGACATATCATGCCAATGGCTCCTCTTACAACGTATTGGGTACAGTCAAGAGCAATGGTGACACTCCACCTCCGGTCCCTCAGCGGCCTACTGTTATGGTTCCGAGTTCAAATAGGAACAGCATGATAGTAAGTTCGCTGGAACAATCATGACCAAATCGTGCCTCTGAGCTGATCGAAGGCAGACTCTGTCACCTTCCGGCTCTAATGGGACAATCCGAGTTCCCCCACCGACCTCTGCGTATGCGCCTAGAATTACTTCGGTCATGGATAACTCAGTGGTATGTGATGGGTCAATAACGAGTTGGGAATGGCAGGCTCACAGATGGCGTTCAGGTCTATCACAAAGTGCTATTGGTGAATGGAGAAATCGGCGACCCCAACCACAAACCCATGGAGGGCAATCTGACTGTCCATCACGACAAGGAGGGACAGGCGTTTCCACCCACGAACTGGCCGGTCTCCGATTCGTACTTCAAAGCCCTGGTCTACCTCTCCCCGGGCTGGAACAGAATTCGTTTTGACTTCACCTCACCCAAACTGAGCCACCACAGCGCTGGATCCACCCCGACGATGCACTCTTCCTATATTATGCTGAACTACCTACCATTGAATAGCGCACCGCCTCTCCAGCTCGTCATCCTAGTCGGCAGGGATTCGCCCTGTACATATGACGCAGCTCCCCAGAGAATACACAATGAGGGCAACGATCTGTCCATGGCCATCAGAAAATTCCGAATGGCTGCTCACCTGTGGCAGACATTCACTGCAGAACAAATGTACCGACACAAATTCGGACGCAGATGTTTCAGATTCGAAGAGGAATGGCAAACCGGCACACTTTCCATCCGAGACTGGGAAATGGGCATCATGAAAAATGAAACCAGGATCCATGTCGTACGGTCGGACAAGACTACTGCAGAATTGCGGGACCCGCAGTACGCCCAACAACATTCGCCGGCAACCAAGAAGGGAGAGCTTTACTCAATTGCAGCGGATGCCGTCAAGAAGTATTTCAATATCAGACCAGGTCAGAAGCAGTATGTGGCTTGCCTCTTGCTTGATGCCCATTGGGATCCAGAAGTCGGAACAATTAGGGGCCATGCCGCTCTCGGCGGTACAGCGGATGACCTTGGCTTAGCCATTTTCGGCTCACATGCTCTTCAGAGCTATCCATCGTGTATCGAGGAAGTGGTGCCGGCCTTTATGGACTGCACGCGGACTGACACCAAGTATGTCGCAAACGATTGCGACGAATCCGGGAGTAGCTGGGAAGCTGTCAACATTGGCATCGGCGCTCATCTGCATGAGGTCGGTCATCTCTTTGGCTGTCCTCACCAAGAAACCGGAGTCATGCTCAGAGACTATGTCCGGTTGAACCGCACATTCTTGGTCAAAGAACCGTACTCGACGAGAACAAAATCCCAAGGTCTCAAGGTCTGTCGTCAGGAAGACGAGTGCGGTTGGCATCGACTGGACGTGCTCCGTTTCCGGTACCACCCCTGTTTCAGACTTCCCAGTGATGAATCTCTTCCACAAGATGACAGTATTCAATACTTTCCGGTCGGCAACGGGCGCATTATCTGTGCCGCCCCCTCAGGGATATCATTCATTGAAATGAGGATGGAAACCGACGATCTATGCCGGCAATGGATCGACTTTACCAACACTGATCCCCGACACAGTGTTACTCCCAAACAGATCACCTTGGCAGAGGCCGACATCCGCGCACGCCTTCCTGAAGACAAAAAGAAGGTCAAATTGTCTTTGACAATCTTCTGTGGTAGCTCCCGGAGTGAGAAGATCGAAGACATAGATGACCTCTTGTCAAAGAAATACATTGTTAATCTGCCGCACGTCAAGCAGGCACCGAAGCGTGATGACGGCTTGACAATGAACGCGCTGAGCAATGTTGTAGGTTTGGGCAAGTCGTTCGACTCTCGGCTCGGGTATAAAAGCAAGAAGCTGGGTCATTCCCAGCTGGAGGGGTCGCGGCCAGAAGAGCTGATTCTAGACAGCATTCATCTTCAGACAAAACTTCTGACTTCTGTCAAAGTATATCATGGATATGCACTGGACGGTGTTGAATTTTGCTATGAAGACGGTCATAGTCAACTATTCGGCAAGAGGGGCGGCAAGCCCGGTGGTGATGAATTCTTCCTTGGTGAGTTGGAGGCGTGGACATGCGACATTTCAGAGGGCTAACATTCGCAGACACACGGCGTGGCGAAACAATTCTAGGCTTTTACTTGCGTGCCGGCCTGTGGATTGATGGCATTGAGATTTTGACCAGTACGGGCCGAAGATCGGGTATTTTTGGGAACGCAATTGGAGGATCTGGGTATGTAAAAGTCTTTTGTGCTACCTTTACAGTGAGGACTCTTCTGACTGAGAGACAGACACACGTTGATGGCGCCGCGGGGGTACAGTCTCGCCGGAATTTCTGGAAGCTGTGGACCATGGATAGATGGATTCCAGATCATCATCACCCGGTAATGTCCTTCTTTTAGACGATTGCACAATGACGACAAAACCCGTTACATACAATACCCTAGGACGTCGATTTGCATGATTCGGCAATGGAAATGTCCACCACTTTCAACGGGCGATAATCGTGTCGAAACGGCTTGGGGATTAGTCGATATTGGTCACTTTTACAGACATTAATGTTGCTGCACGCCTTGTACGGAATGAAACCACTGGGAGGACACGCTTAGCCAAACATACGATGATGGCAAAAGAATACGTATACCAAAGGGACAATGGGGGACTATTCTACAATAATGAAGAGGTACGATATCCACTGGTTGGAGACGATCTCAACAGCGATTAGAGGAAGTCCATTTCAGGGGAAGGCCACTCATGCCATGAGGTATTAATGTGCTCCGGGCTATGTATATATTTGGCGCCTCCACAGCAAGGTGCGAGGCAGGGCGCTGTGATGAACTAAGCGAGATGGTACCGAAAGGTGCCCTCTAGCTAGGTGGCTTTGCTCATGAACACTTGGTGGGTGAACCGGGTTGAGCACCAACTAATGGCCTGACTTTGCTCGCAATTGACATGAACGCGAACGCTCTTGACGACCTAAATCCATATCCTCTCCTGCTCAATGATCAGGGGCGGTCTAACAGACTGGGTCTGTCTCTGGACTGGTTTTGTCGTTTGCATGACCTCTCCATGCGAGAAAATCGCAAGACAATAAGATTTTGCTCGATTCTCGACAGACGTCCCCGGGCTTTGGACATTGAGCTGTAGCTTTGACGTGCGACTTCCCCAGATCGGACTAGCTCAGCCTTGTTGGGCTTCTTCCTCATCTTCATTCGCATGCGACCGATGCGGGTTTGTTGCAGATCCGCACAGCTCTTGACGTGTACATTGAGATGCATCAGGTATCATACGTTTTGCCGGTGCAAGTTTCACTCGTCCCACAGTTGTGATGCTCACTTTGGCGGTTCAGGAGCTTTTCGATTCGCCAACAAGGAACTTGGAGTCTCAAGGACTATGAGGCGATATTAAACGAAGACGGCTTCTCCGTTAAGTCGGCACAGGAGCCCTTATTGGTATCGCCTGCGAGACGATTCAAGGTTGAATTGTCTTTCCAACTGCTCCTTCTTTGTGGGCACTGTTGAAGTTGAGAACTTCCTAGTATGGGTCTGGTGAGCCTCTGCGTCTCAAGCCTGGCGTTAGCCGGTATAGTTGCTGCCCAGAATGCCAGCTTGACTCAAGACAATAAAATTTCCACAGATGGACTCGTCTCCAATAGCTCCAGGTTCAACACGATTCTACCCGTGGACAATAGAACTTACGGCCCTCCAGTAGAGGAAGTCCATTATTTTTACAAATACTGGCCGATCTGCATCGCCGTGTCCAGCACCACTAGAATCTTTGTCTGTTACACCCAGGGGGACTACGAATATACCGTTGCGGAAGTCAACAGCACGACTTCAGAGATACCTTTCCCATCTGCCGGTTTGAACTTGCCTTCTGATAGACTCAACACCACTCTCGATGGGATCGAGTTCGGAAGTGCGAATTCCACAGGCCTGATCAGCGTGCAGGCTCTCTCTATATCTCCTGCAACATCCTCGGGCCGAACCTGAAACGCTGCGGCTCTTGGACACAGGCCGGCCGACTATCCAGTCCTCCTCTGGGAGCTACAGCATGCCCTACGCACAGCCGGGGGGGGGGGGGGGGGCCAAAAGTCGTGGGCGTCAATCTATTCAACAACACCGTCTACGCGACGTATACGTTCCCTCCAACTGTGCATTTCCCCGACTCGTACAAGAACAACATCCACTTCGATATTTGAGTAGGGTTCGAAGTCGCTTATATAGTAGACTCCAGCAACGAAAGCCAGGTTCATCATGTTAAATCTGGCGGACCGCTCGTCCTGGAGGAGGTTAACGCAACATCCCTCGGTACTCCGTACATACAATGCATTGCCGAGCTACCAGGGCCATCCATTTTACTATCGAGACCTGGGCATGAGCACCTCGCATCAACAGGAGGGGTTTGACGGGATCTAGATCTCCCCCAATGGCGACTACATCTACTGCTCGCCACTGACGTCGTAGAATCTCTACCGCGGTCCCACCGCAAACTTGCTGTTACAAGACAGGCAAAGCCTACTTGTCGAACAGGCTGCTTCCAACAACGTCTCCTGGCTCGGCCACCGCGGAGGCGAGGCCAACGGCTTTAAAGGCGATGGTCGGGGTCTGATCTACATGCTCATGCCCACCCACAACGCGGTCTACTGCTATGACCCAGCAGACCTGCAGGTTCACGGATTCATAAGAGTTCCTAGGATTGTCTGGCCCGACGGCGCGACAGTCGCGGAAGATGGTTACTTCTACGTTATTATCAATTAGTTGCCGTATCAGGATGAGTGTAACAACGGGGTCAACCTGACGCGGTTTCCCGGGGCGATACTGAGGGCTAAGTTCTTGAATAATGCCACAAAGATTACATCCTTAGTGTAGTATAGGTATGAAGAGCTGTGGATGTGATCGCCCCTAGGTTCTGCCATCTTTGGCTGTTCAACGACGCATCTTTCCTGACTGGGCACATGCACCGTGCAGATCTTCGAAGCTCGGAGCAAAATCCAATCTTGCAGGAGACTACAATTCCTCAACGGAAACCAGACAAGGCTTCACTTACATTCGTTCAAGGTGCCGACTGTGAAGACCTAGCTGCTTCCCAGGCATTGGCCGCTCCCTAGAAAGAAGGCAAACGTAGCCTCCCAGGCGTTGCGAGTTGTCGGGGCTTTCGAAGCTGAAGTCGTGTCTGCGGAAGGTCGAGCGAAGATCAAGGCCCCCGCTGAATTGATGCCGACCTGGAACTGAAGCAGTATCTTCATCGTTATTGCCGCTGTGGTTATTCCATATGGAGATCGATCCGCGCGGCGGACTTGAGAGAGATGAGATATTGAGGACTTCTTACTTCGACAGCGTCAGTGGACGAGATTTTGATCATCTCAAGCTCTTATATATTGGATCAACCGGTCGGTTGGTAGCTCTCCGGTTAGCTCTCTCTCATCCGTCGTAGCAACAGCCTCATTCTGGAACTCGACAACCATAACGAGTAATTTTTCAATGTCACATTTAGCATCTGACATGTTGCGGCGACTAGCCAGGTCTCGACCTTGGAGGCTAAACATCGGGAGGCGCCAAGTGAACTCACTAATTGTCGACCGCAAGACAAACTATAAAAACACTAGAATTGTGTGCTGTAACCATGGAGAGTGTAGTGATGGCTATGTATTCTGTGAAAATACTCAATGGCATAATCTGTGCCGAGGCGCTAGACCGTTTTAAGGTTAACGCCTGGCGGAGCGGTGAGGTTCAGTTTACTTGGCAAGCGGGGTGTTTAACCTCACAGCATCACACAACCGGCTCGTTCAGACTTCTCCTATCACAGATTCAATATCCAATAGTCGGTGTCCCTACAGCCCTGCAGTGTGGAATGTCGGAATGGGAACCAAAACTCCGGAAAACGAGCGTCGCAGAAACTATGGTATGTGACACACTGACACCTTTATGCTCGAGGTACGAATCCTAACACAAGATTCCGGCAAGGCGACACGTCCAACTCGGATGGAGCCTGTCACGTCGGCGGCGAGCCTCGGGGATCTCATATGCACAGAGACGGGGATGGCTGTCTCGGAGACGCAGGAGGTGATGACGAGAGCGACGGCGACGGCGACGGCGACGTCGAAGAAACAAGCCTGGGACCGCTAGAGGCGCCCTCAACAACCGACGTCGTAGATGCAAAGAAGAAACGGAAGAAGAACAAGAAGAAGAAGAGCAAGACGAAGAAGGCCACTCCTCTGCCTGTAAAGCAGTCGTTCCCACCAAGAGTCTTGTTGACCTACCTCTTCCCATCTGGCGAGTATCCCGAGGGTGAGATGCAAAACTATACCAAATCACTGATAGCAGCTGCCGAAGCACGGTACGAAGCTCGTTTGTATTATAAAGACGATGACTTCATCCAAAACTACCGCAAGGCCGCCGAGGTGCACCGGCAAGCTCGACGATGGGTGCAGGAGAGCGTCAAGCCCGGCCAGACTCTCCTGGACATCGCGGAAGGAATCGAAGACAGCGTAAGGGCGCTGCTGGGTCATGCCGGGCTGCAGCCTGGAGATAGTCTCAAGGCCGGCTTGGGTTTCCCCACGGGTCTATGCCTCAACCACCAAATGGCGCACTACACGCCCAACCCGGGTCAAAAGGATGTGGTACTACAGCAGCACGACGTTATGAAAGTTGACTTTGGTGTCCATATCAACGGCTGGATTGTCGACAGCGCCTTCACCATGGCCTTTGACCACACCTACGACGGCCTTCTAGCCGCAGTCAAGGATGCCACCAACGCGGGGGTCAAGGTGACAATCTTCCTTCCCAAACGGGTATGTACCACAGGATTGGACAATGGGGCTAACCTACCGTTGACAGGCGGCCGGTATCGACGTGCGTATCAGCGATGTCAGCGCTGCCATCCAAGAAGCCATGGAGAGCCACGAGGTTGAAATCCGCGGTAAAACGTTCCGCGTCAAGCCGGTGCGCAATCTCTGTGCACACGATATCAAGCAGTACCGTATTCACGGCGGCAAGTCCATCCCCTTTGTGAAGAACTCGGACCAAACCAAGATGGAGGAAGGCGAGGTCTTTGCCATCGAGACATTCGGCACGACTGGGCGCGGCTACGTGCGCGACGATGTAAGCGACCCAGTTTCGCTTTCTATTCTCCAATTGCGTTCGTTTGTTCGTCCACATACCAAAATCCAAGCAGAAACAGAACCGTCCTGACTGGCTAAACTGCGCGCCACCACAGGTAGGAATCTACGGGTACGGGCTGAACCATGACGCCCCGCTGGCAGTCCCTCTACCCCTGGCCTCGGCCAGACGTCTGCACAAGACCATTCGAGAGAATTTCAGCACGTTGGTCTTCTGCCGTCGCTACCTCGACCGGCTCGGCGCGGAGAGGTATCTAGCCGGTGTAAGTCACATACATCACCCACTCTGGCGCGCCGCTTTAGAAGGCAGGGGGAACCCACATACTAACTGATACCCCGACGCGGTCGGTTGTCCAGATGAACTGCCTCGTCTCCAACGGCATAGTGGAGCCTCATCTACCCCTGATGGACATCGAAGGGTCGTACTCGGCGCAATTCGAGCATGTGAGTTTCTCCCCTGCTTGCGGTTTCACGAACACAGAGCACGACGCGAGGCTAACGATCGATCTTACTTTTCTTAGACTCTGCTCCTTCGTGAGACGCACAAAGAAGTCTTCAGCCGCGGCGACGACTACTGACGTCCATTGAATCGGCGCACCATGGCCCCTAGATCGATCGATCCTTATTCTAGGTTATGATTGGGGTGCCGCACAGTTCTGTTGTTGGGTTGGCGTCAAAGTATCAATTACGATTCCTTTTCTTTTTGTTTTCTCTCTTTATCCCTTGGTGCTGGTTTTTTCCCCCTTCTCCTCCTCGGTTCTACATAGGCCCTACTGGGAGATTGAGATGCGGGGTTTTTTCCCAGCACTGTAACGCGAATGCGAAGGGGTCATCTTGTACGGGTGTTTCATAGGTATTTGATACAGCTGGTATGGGTATCGTATGCATGTCCAATTCACAATCGGGTTACATTTAAGTGTCAGTGGCGTTCCATGGACCATTCTTTCATGTGTGGAACCAGATAGATGAATCGACTACCAACTTGCCATGCCCCGAAGCGCCACATCAGCCTGAGTTCGAGGACATGGAAGGCCCGAAGACGGACAAATCTCCCCCTCGAACTCCCAGCGTAGAAAGATGCCCCGATGCGGGTTGAGTATGGGCTTGTGCACTAGGGCCGGGAGCACTGATAGTTTTGTATGATTTCCGAGGTCAAACATGTTTCAACGCGTATTCGAGGCCATTTACATAGGTACATTAACAGCGGTTGGTTGATCAACCCGTAGTAACCTGGCTCGGACAAATTCGGACCCGTCTGCATGCTCTTACGTCCTCTACCCTTTGGCCTCGCGTACCTGGTAATGCCCTTGATAATCAAAAGGCAATGGCAGCTCCTCCTTTTACAGAGTCGGCCAGACAATGCGTAAACGGTTCAATAAGCCATCCCACTCGACTTTCAATAGTCAACCAAAACTGGAATCTCTCCTCTCCAGCTGTTCGTCCGCTACAGAGATCGAAGAAGCGCTCCACGCGGGATAAAGATAGACAGGGGGTGCTTGAACGTACCGGTCCCACTTGACAATATCTTCCAGACACACGGGCCGAGTGGCGAGAACGAAATGCAGCGCAAGCCTGGGTTCGATGTCTAACGGTAGCGATTCGCCTCTCGTTGTGCATCGAGGATCTTGATCAAATTTGCGAGAGTGTGAGACTGTTCAAGCACTGAAGTGCGCAGATCCCCACTGGTTCCAGCATTGACTTTGGCACCTTCGGTAATGCTGAACGCGATCAAATTAAGTTGAACCAAAGCAAAATCTCGACCTGAGAAGACCATAGCCAAGGAAATGGTAGCCTTTGTCAAATTGAGGGCTATCCACAGCCAAAAAAAACTGCAAATCAATACTAGTTAGTACCTGGCTTCATGGTCAGGACGGTCCACACTGTTCTTCGGAACAGCTAACCGGCATATATCAACTGAAGACACGGAAGAGAGCCAAGTCCGGGATTTTCAACAAGTTCGCATGCTGACTTCTCTGTATCTTCAAATCTTCTGGTCGTCGTAATTGGTGAAAGTTAGTTTTCTGGTTGGCGAGGAGGGTGGCGTTCGTTGTTCCACGGTTTGAAGTTACCGGGAACTTGTGATAGAGGGCGTTGGCATGCGTAGTCTGTATCTTCTGGCCTGCATCCAGACCCGTGAGGTATTGTGGACGTGGTTCGGGTCCCTGCGTCCAGCCACAGTGGCGAGTTCAAATGATTGTCGATCTCTCGCCCAGGCAAAGATTTTCGACTCTTGTGGCGCAAAACATGTGGGGTCCGGCCACGCCGTTGCGGACTCCTCTGCATGGCTCTGCTTAGACGTCGTGCTCCCCTTGGCACAAACCTTCGATTGCGCATTCTTTGCTTTTTTTATGCATTTTGCCTTGGGCATATGGTGGTGACCTAGATGCATTCTTTAAGGGGAGACAAATTTTCGAACATTGTTGATGCGGAATAGTGCCGGGTCGAGAAGGAAAGGGTGTTCAGCCCGAAAATGCGGTTAAAAAAGTCACTCCAGTATGATGCCCGCTTCTGGAACTTCGGCAAATATACTTCTCCGAAGCTCATTTACCAAACCAACAGCCCCGGTCCCGGTATTTCGGATGCAATCTCCAAACGAAATTTCTTGTCCCTAACACTAAGGGTAGACTCTGCGGGCATTCTGAGTTGGTGGTATGATTAGAGATTTCGATAGACCATTCTTAAAAAGTGCCATAAAAAAAAGGGAGGACCGGAGGCCTTTGACAACTGCACTCGGCCAAATTTGCATGGCTGTCACAGGAAAATGGCATGGCGAATAGTGTCCCCACGGCACAAAGCCATTGGGGGGGGGCGCCAATTTTGCGCCACAGCTCGTCTCACCTGTTGGCATCCCGCAAACTCTCCCAAAAACCGATCTGGTGCCCCCCATCCACTTTCAGATGGACCATCTCAGGCATGGTCCAAAATGGCTGTGCCGCTCAAATTTGTTCCACCCGTGTTCCAGCTGTCTCGAATCGAGATTGCCGGGGTCAGTCCTTCAGAGAGTCCACTCAAATCATTGCCCAGCTTTGTAGCCCGACATGCTACGTAGCGTCGATTGACAACTTGCAAAGACGAACTGATGTCTTCCTGAAACCGGGTGGATGAGAATGAGGTCATTCTCTTTCGATTGTGCAAGGGGGCCTTCAGACGCGAGCACCTGTAATATGGAGTTGGGAATTGAGGAGATAGTTTCCGGGATATCTCTTGGGGTCGCTCGCGTTGGACTTGGGTGATTCCCTAGAGTTTTCTCTAGAGGAGTCTTCCGAAGTTTCCAAAGATGGCTGATTGGAGGTGTGACGGGCGTGCCGTGCAGAATGACGAATAGTCTGTGAGATCGTAGGCGGGATTGTCAAAGGATCACTTGACCTTGGATGTCCTCGAATCTCTCTTTCGTGCGCCCGTTCTGTTTCATGTTGCAGAAGTCCCTGTCACATTGGTTGGTCAGGGCGAGAGACAATGATGTAATGTGGGGAGCTGCATCCTGACGACTTTTTTTCGCCGTGTTGCTCGGGGCACCGTAGCGTGAGACTCGATTATTGGGCACTACGCAGCCAGCGGGTTTGGGCGGTCAGCCCATCGACAAACTCGTCGGGTGCTCTTTCATGTCCCAGGTCAATCTCGTGCGCTGGGCATTGACAATGAGACCCTTCGGTGTCTTGGAAGCCGAATACGGAGGTGCGGTCATGTGGATCGAGTTCCCGATTGAGGAGGAGCCGTGGCGGGTGTTATCATTGAGTGTGATTCTATGTACTAGCAAACCGTCTCTGGATCTTGACAGATAATTTTTCTTCCTCCTCGCCCCTTCTCTGTGCTGTACTCGTACCGTACTGTATCATGCATGCGCGTCCCGCCGAGGGTGAGATAGCATTCCATGACTCAGTGGTGGTGCCATTGGCGGTAATTGGTCTGTTTGCGGAGACGGCTTCTGGGCGAAATGAGCACAGAGGAATGATCGACGACGAGGGATCATGCTGATCCTCATGGGCACGTGTGGACGATCAGCAAAGTGCATGTCCTTACTGTGATGGATTAGCATAAGCGAGCTCATGATGATGATAGTGGTGATCAAACAATCGCCTGTGGCTGAAGATAGATGAGTTAACGAGCGTTTCATCTGTCCGCAATCATTTCGCTCCAAGAAAAAAAATTGGAGGAACATGGGGGAATGGCTCTGGGAGCAGCTTTGCCAACCGAGATGGGAATCAGAGATGGGAAAATGAAAAGGTGCAAGCCACTGGTGCCTGGAGTGGATGCCCGGCAAATGTGCTGCTGACGAAGCGCGGCTCGCTTCCTGTGCTGGAGAAAAGATGCTGGTCAGGCTGAAATATCCGACTTTTTTGCCACAGAAAAAGCCACAAGCTGCGAGGTCCAGAGAAGAGCTGCCGCCTCGAAAGCCACACAATCGGAGGGGGGGATACGTGTGGCTGTGTGGCTGTGCTTGTGGTCGGGTCGATCAGGCCGATCTGTCTGTCTGGGCCTTACATGGGAAGAGAGGTCTGCCTTAATCTTTTCCGCGCTCACGGTGAGGATGAGCCTGGTTCGATGGAGCACAATGAGAAGCAGGCACAGAGGGCAAGGCAGCAAGTCGAGAGGGGGACCAGGTAGTGACCGTGAGCGAAGAGAGAGCAAGAGGAAGAGGGAGAGTGGCAGATGTGCATGGATGGTGAAACGAAGACGGCTGGCCAGTCAGCGGGTGCTAATGACTGGGCAAGTCACCCACCCAGTGCTCCCGAAACAAGCCACGTCGGTGGGCGTCACGGGCGTCATGGGCGCAAGGTGCCGCTGGGGGATGCCACGGGCTGCCACTGAAAATGAATTGAACGCCACGTCGGGCGTGCGCACTAAGCCTATTCCAAGTGGCAGCTCCGGTCCGGTTGGTGAGGAGGACCAATGGCTCCCCTCAGTTCCTCCCCTGGTACCTCGTATGCGTGGCTCAGTTAAAGGCATTAGGCGCATTGGTGGAGTTGGTGGAACCCCGTGTTTAGGCTTTTCAGAATTGGGCTCCTAGCTAAGTAAACATGGGCTCGATGTTGCCGTACGCCGAACGGAGGCCCGTACCTGCTTCGTTCGGAGGCACCAGAGGTAGAGACGCAAATCGACATCTCATCCCAAATTCTTCCATGGCCGCTAAGCTCGAGACTCCACCAACTTAAGGGTGAAGCACCCTGGATCCCTGACCTGCGGCCCCCAATCATGGCTGCTAATCATGGACCCGGGGTGCCATGACCGTGGCTAATTCCATCCATCGCTGATGCATCGAGGACCCATGCCTCCAGTATATCGTGATGAGCAACACCCCCCCCCCCCCCCGGTCCGTTCATTTTTGACGAGACTCGCTCCACCGCGTGCTACGTCCTACGTGCACCTAGCCTGCTACCTCACACCTCACGCACTTACCACACACTCACAAACCAACAACCTTGAAACCGTTCAATCCGTCAATCCTTTTGTTGTCTATCTTTTTTCTTCCTTTTGCCCTTTTTCTTCATATTGCACTTGAGAGCCACCCCCCTCCCGTCCTCACCTTGAAGCAGACCTCTTTGGATCTCAACATCGATTCAGCCCCCATCCTCGAACAGACTGTCTACTCGACGAAACGCGCACGCAATAAGGCGCAGCAGTTCATACGAACCTCTTACGTTTCTGCATCCCCTGCAATCAGATCTCCGAGCACTGTCGCCAGTGAACTGATGCACGACGCTTGACTGCCATCGCCCCCTTCGACAGTTCGACGCGAACTTGGCCGGCTCCATGTGGTTGATTTGACCTCAGTCTCTCTTGGTTCATCAGCCTGAGACGCTGTCCCCGCCGCAAATGTTTCGCAATCGGTCAGTCTTTGTCTTGCGATCTATACCCGTTTCATCTCCACAGCCCTAGCTGGCCCATGGCATACTGACTTGCATTTCGCCGTGGTAGGCGCAATACTCAGAAGCCCGATGAGGAGTTGTACGCGGCCTTCAAGCAGAATTTCCCCGAAGTAGGGCCTGGGTCGACCTCAGCTCTGCAAGGAGATGCACGTCCTGCCCGCCGATCGTCGACTCTGAGCGAGGCTATCGTGGAGGAACCGTCAACTTCTCAGCGGTATGTTTAGGATTTGTCTTACTTCTACCCACCAGTCCTCTCCCTCGGGGAGCCCCAAATATTGCCCTACCTTGACACAATGTCTCCAACTCTACTCCCTTCTGGGCATGGCGATGAAGACGCCAACAACGCTGACTATTTTGCCAGAGCCTTTGAAGGCCAGCAGCAACCCGAGGTGAAGGAGCAAGATGCCACTCCCAAACCATTTACCGACGCCTGGAGGTTTACTCCCTCCCTCATGGATCCTAATTCTTATGCCTTCTCTGCTTTTGCCAACCAACCTCCGGGATACTATACTCCCACCCCCGGTGGCTTTGGCACTCTCTACCACCCTCAAGCGGGCGACCTTCACACGCCCGGTATGGGAATGAACACTCCTCTATCTCTCCCCCATTCTATCCACGGGCTCCACGCCCAGGAGCAGTTGATGCACCTCCAGCACTTCAACCCCCATCTTCTCCATCAACCACATCCCTTCCAGGAGCCGTTCCATCCTCAGCAACCTCCTCTTCATGTCCCGACCCAACAACCACAAACATTCGCCCCGCAGCAGTTCCTGCAACATCAGGACTCTGGATATGTGGCCATGGATGACACTCCCCACAAGACGACCCCGACACAGGCCGAAGTAGGTATGGAGCAGCAAAGCATGAATCAACCAATGCGACAGTCGATGTCCGGGAGCGTTGCTTTGACGGGCCTACCGTTGGGGGAAAAGTCAGTATCGACCAGCTTCGTTCAGGCACTCTCTAACCTCGATGTCAGGTTTCGATTTCACACGACATTGAATGCTCCGACAGCCATGGTCCGGCACGCAGATGAAATTCCCATCACGTACCTGAACAAAGGTCAAGCTTACACCATGTCAATCTGGGACACCACTCCTCCCATCCCACACAACGCTCCTCTCCAGTATCGTACTTATGTCCGTGTTTCCTTTGAAGACGAACAGCAAAGAGCGCGACCTGGAGCCTGTTGGCAGCTCTGGAAGGAGGGCCGTGGGTCGAACGAAGCCCATCAGCGAGGTGGCAGACTCCTGGCTGTGGAATACGTTGACCAAAATCCAGGCGGGGATGACGTGTTGCGGAGACCTCAAATCCAGCTCGAGAAAGCCTCGTTTGATGGGTTCGCAGTGACTTGGTCCCCCAATGCCGCCAACGGGGGCCCGGACTGCTCCCTATCATTACGCTTCAATTTCTTGTCAACAGACTTTAGCCATTCCAAAGGGGTCAAAGGCATACCAGTTCGACTTTGTGCCAAAACCGAGCTGCTTACCGCGCAGACATCCACCCACAACGAGCCTGAGGTGTGCTATTCCAAGGTCAAACTTTTCCGTGACCATGGTGCAGAACGTAAACTGTCAAATGATGTCGCACATGTGAAGAAAACAATCGACAAGCTCAAACAACAGATTGCTCAAGCCGAAGCTGGTTTAGGAGGCGCCGGAAAAAGGAGGAGGAGCAGCTCAATGGCAAAAGCCTCAGCGTCCAAGCCCGGAAAAGTAGTGAAACACAAGCGGACTTGGTCCGTTGACTCTGAAGCGGAGGGTGTCAAGTTTTCGGCCGAGGCGGATCTCCAAATGAAGCTGGCCAGCATGCAAGACATGTTCTCTTCGACAAGACCCGTCAGTATTTTGTTTTTGCGCGGTGAGCCAGAAGATGATCCGGATCTTCACCCAGTCAAGCTTCCCGGAGACGACCCTGAAGGCAAGGAAATCGTGCGCACCACTACGTGGGAGTCGAGACAGAGTGCGTCCGACTCCCCTACTTCAAATGCCGGCTCGCCGTCTTCGAGCTCCGCTTCGCAGATCACCCCAAAGAGAAAATTCTCCGACCTGCAACAAACTGCCATTCTGGAGGAGGGAGAAAGCGAAAACGACAATGACCACGCCGGAGGTGTCTCCGGATCGAGACCGGTGAAAATTACCAAGACGGAAGCGGAGTCTGTCGTTAGACCGGGCGTTTTTGCGGTTGATGTGGACAGCAGCTATCGGCCTCCTGTTGAAAGGCCCATTCGTCCAGGTAAGTGTCCGTGTCGACTACCCAGGTATCAATCTAACGTGGTCAAAGTTGCATGCTTCTACGTGCGCCAAAAAGATGCGGCGAAGGAATACTACCGCGCTGTCTACTTGATGCAACGGACCGTGAAGGACCTGATCAACAACATCGCAACGAAATTCCAAATCGACCCTCACAGAGTTACCCAGGTCACGCATGTCAATTCTCGCGGCCTTCACATCATAGTAGACGAGGATGTCGTAAGAGAACTCCCGGAAGGTCAAGATATGATTGTGGAGTTCACACCGCTCGAAACCGACCAACCGGTCAATCATGAATTCATCTCGCTCGCGGCTACGGAAGTGACGGTCGACAGCGAACTACCACCTACGGAGTCATTCATTTCGGATCCGTTAGAGATGTGGTTAAATTATTGAAGATTTGTACACCAATCCAGGACCCGGAAATTGCATGAGATACCCCTGGCTTTCTTCATTGTACTTGATTTTCATTACGAACACGACAAATGCTTCGGCGGCACACTCTAGAGGAGAGTTCGATTTGTCGTCATTGAACGAATCTACTTACCTTTATTTGATACCCCTTTAATGGCCAAAGGCCATATCCGAACTCGGGCGCTGGACTGCGGACACCAAGTTTTGAGTGTACAGTTAGGTCACAACGGAAGGAGGACAGTTTGCGGCCGATATCTGCGACAAGGACTTTTTGCAACAAAGTCTCTTTTTCCATTCACTTTTTCACTTCAGTACAACGAAGGACGATTCGAACGAAGGGATGATATACGGGTCCCCGAGCGAGCCCCGACCATACTTTCACGAGGAACATGACTTTTCGAGATACCCACATTATTGGAATTTTCGTTTGTTGGAAACGATGATACCCAAGCGTGACTTCTACTAGAGTTCGTTATCACCACCAATGTATCGACCAACTAATATGGATTTACACAATTCTTCAACTTTAACATTTCTCTCTTTATGCCGACGGGCTGTTTTTCGTGTCGAATCTACGACTTGGGATTCGAAGCACAGAGCGAAATCTCTCGCCGGCGAATTTGCCACATGGGGTTTCTTAGCTTCGGAAAGGAGGGTGGAAGGGCGCTTGCCAGGGATATCTGGGGATCAAACATTCAGAGAGACAAAGCCAGTGGTTCTCATTCTGCAGGAACGGAATCATGTGGATTATCAGCAAGGGGAGATGCAGGAACCAATAACACTCCTGAAACAAGGAGGCTGGAGCCAATGACGCAACGTTCCAGAGTTGAATCGAAGGTCGGCAAAGGGTGGGGAGACGAGGTGGCTGTCTGGAAGGCTCTGACGGTGGAGAGGAGCATCTGCCTCGCTGCCCCAGGCGGTGGCAGTGTTTCAGGCGAGAATGATGGCGAGAATTGCAAAGGTTGAGCAGCCATAGCATGGTTCCGAAGATAGAAATCAGCTGACTAGCCGATCTTTTGTTCGGTTAACGCCGCGCCTGGATATATGAGACTTGGAACATGCATGAGGCTAATGCCCTCGCATGCACGCTCTACACCAATGCAAATGCAATACTAGCTGTCGGCAGCCCGAGCTAGAAGAGGCTCTGATCATCTAGACCCTCTCGGTGAGTCAAGAATAGCTCGGTTCACGAGAGACGAGCGGGCCACGTCAGTCTCAGGCCATTCGAGGCTGTTTGACCGTTTGTGCACCACGCGGGACAAGAGGCGGATGGCCAAAAGCATCAGGTATCAGCGCAGCGATCGCGACCTCTACCGCGGAACAGAGGACGATCAAGGAAACGTCGCAGCGGGCCAGCGGGATCAAGACACCGAGGCCGGGCGGTCTTGGCTGCATTGGTCCATGAACGACGTCCCAGTGGGATCCAAGATGTACCGTGATCCTAGTCTGTACCGATGTGCCAAGGTACTTTCTGTACATGGCAGTGCCGAAGTGGGAAGAATGCCATCTTCACCGCCACCAACCTTCCATCGGAGAAAATGCGGGACAGACCTTACCGACGAGCAAGACATGCGTGCTAAGACAGGTAGTTGCCTGCGGTGAGCAGTCTGTGCCAAAAGGGAAAGGGAAAGAGAAAGAGAGCAAAGGCGTTGTAGTATTCCCCAGCCACGGCATTTTCGGGGCGGGCCAAACGGTCGCCCGCAAAGAGGGAGAAGCGCCCGTGAGGCCGAGAAATGACAGGATGGTGAGACGTGTTGCGGCCTTGGAAAGCTGGCCTTTGTCCGAGAGCGTTGCATTGACTGCCGGGAGCGCGAGCATCGCTATGATTGTCGATGATTGTCGATGATCGTCGGCCTTTTAGTGCGGTGCTCGTCCAAAGTCCTCCGCACAGCAAGCGGGTAATATGAGGTACCGTTTCGGGACACACGGACTATTATTATGACGCAATGGGCCTTGCCTTGAACCGTCCATCTCGCTGCCACAGTCACGTGGGTGCACGTGGCTCTCCGCCACCATCTGGTTGTCTATCCCAACTGCTGTCGCGGTTCCTCAAACTTCATCGTCATTCTCTTTACAAGTTCTCCCAAATAGCTCTCCCAACGCCATGGTGATCACACCAGACAATGGACCGCCCGGCTGATCGCAGTCATCTTGATTCCTTCTCGCCATTTACAAACCATGGGTTGTGTGTCCTCCGTCGTCGACCACTCTGATTCAAAATGTCATCTCCCTTTGTTGAGCCTTCATTTCAACAAGTATTTTTCTTCCTCACTTTTGTCCCTTGAACCTCGCTTTGTTGTCCGGTCCGACATAAGCAATTTGAACAATGCCGTTGCATTTTGTAAAAGTGTTCTTTGAAGCTTTATTCACTCGTGGGTCTAGTCAAATAGATTCCAGGTGAGCAATTGTGTGCAGCAGTAAGAGGACAGTCCTTTTTTTTTCATTCTCGTTATACTGCCACACCAACTTCGCCCACTTCACGCGCGCAGATTCACTGCTCCATCTCCCCAAAACAAACCCTCGTTTCGTCGTGTCCCGCTCTGCGCTTCACCGTTCCATCACTTCCACCTCGCCGCCAACAACGTTCTTCATCACTACCCAGTACGGTGAGGCAAAACACCATTCCTCGTCTCTACGGCGAAGTAAAATGACAGACCATTACACCGTCCTCGGTGTCTCTCGCGATGCTACCCATCAACAGATCAAAGCAGCATACAACAAGCTAGTTCTCCAAGCCCACCCTGATAAAGGTGGATCTCAATTAAAATTCATTCAAATTCATGCTGCGTGGGAAGTCCTCAGAGATCCTGCCTCCCGCGCAACCTATGATGGAGAAGGCCACAACACAACCAACCAGAAACCCAAGAAACCTCGACCACATGCCCAAGCTCAGAACGCTAGCGGAGCCCAATTTCCACGCAATCAGGCCCATGCCGCTTCAGACAACGACATTCCCATGCCGGGTGGCAGTTACTCTCAAACGTCCAACGACAAACACAGATTCGGCTCCGGATCAAGACCTAACGGCAATTCCTGGACCGGCTATCGTGAGTCTGCGGCAGGATCCGCTTATAACAGCTATTATGGCGCGTCCGCCAGTGCAGCAAACGACAACGACATGAAGCCGAGAGCTTCAAGCACCTCAACGCCAGAAGATGCTTCACACCACCAATCTCGCAATGAGCGGTCCAACTCCCGAGAATCCTACCCCCAGCCGAGACCGCGAGGCTATAATGCTTCTCCTCCTCCCAGGTCCCGATCGCGGTCTCCGCCCCCTACCGTGGCAGCCGAACTCAATCTAGAGACCGTCAAGGCCCTTGTCGACAAAGCATCTCGAAATCTCATACAGTACAAACATCTCCTCAGCACGCTGCGCTCATCTACCAAAGCTCGTCCGCTTTCGCCAGAGATTCAGATCAAACTGGAGCATGTCCATGGCTTCTTACAGAATCGTGTGTTGAAATTGAATCAAAGAGTCAATGATATCAACATGTACAACCTCAACCTCAAGACCTCATCGGAGATGATGGACTCATTCTTTGTGTCGCTGTGGCAGCTGACTGTCAATGACGACATGGAGACGTTGTCGGACCTGGGCACGTCAATGTCAAGGGTGATGGCGGATACCAATGGATTCATGCGTAACAAGATGGTGTTGGAGGCACGCGGCCTCGAAGCCTGCGAGGATGACAAAGCCACCCAAGGCTTGAGAGCGAGTACTGAAGCGCTGGAGAGACTATTGACCAAGGTGCTCCTCACAGCGCCTGGGGTTGCGCCACCCAGGTCCTACTGAGTGATGCACCCTGGGTCGCTGGAGAGGATGGTTCTTTTGGGCTGGTTGGCACCACGGCGGCTGCAGTGCACACTGTCGAGCAATACAAGATAAGTGGTGAAAGCGAAGAAGAATCCATGTGCACAGTCCCTTCAACCGGACGTTCGCTTCTCACCCAAAGTACACACCCCTCGTTGGATGAAGCGGTCGTCGTCGGTCGATGTGGACAGAACCAGGCAGGTCCAGAACGATCGCCCCGCCTTTGATATGTGATCGACAACACGCATATGCTCCTTTTGTGGCGGTGCAGCACGTCCAGGACCCTTACCTCCTACTGGGTACATACCGCGCTATCCAGCAAAGATACGCTACGACATGACATGACACGCCAGTGAGATGCTGTGGCCACCCTCCTTCACCCTTCGCTATCCCCGTCCATTTGCCGGAAAAAGGTATTCCGGTCCTTTTGTATATAAACACTACTTAGAGGGCGAAGGGCCAGCGCTAAATATGCAGGGTCCGCACTAGCAGATGCTTCTCAACCTCGAATTCTGGTGGCCCCTTGTCCTGCTGAAATCGAGAACTCTTCCCTCCCATTCGTCTCATCTAGCACATAGACATGCGGCCCAGAACGAAAAGGGGAAATTAGAGAAAGTCTAATAATCCTAGAAAAGTGTGGTACCTAGTTAGAGCTGTAGACACGCGTACGGGGATAATGTACATACCTAGGTACATCCAGGCACTGGTTCCTTCTTGGAGGTTTGTTCCGCGAGGATATCCATAGAGACGGGTGTGGACATGGACAAGTAAGCCTCTACCTAGCATCCCGGCCACACGAACATACCCATCTACCTGTCTACTAGGTACATTCCCCTACGCCGAGTCCTCATTGTTGCGCCCTTGTCTGATTCCCCCGGAGGTGAGAGAGTAGAGAGTATTAACCTTCCGACGAGTCTCGCGGATCCGGAAAGCGACAGACATCTATCTCTGTACCTTGCTGTCTTACCCTCTTGCGCCCAGCCCTCCTTTCCCTCAGCCCAAGTCCCATCGCATCCCGCCGCGGGTGGCGATGACAATGGACAATTGTGCGGTCCACTTGCCCTTCCTTTACCTTTCTTTTCTTCTGCTCTCCTCTAGTTTTCGCCATGCGGGTATCTCTCCGGGCGTTACGGCCGGTATACACCCTGTGGGTAGGTAGGTAGGAGGGTGGGTACGTGGACAAGACATTCTCCCCCTTTCTTCCTCTCTTTACTCTGGCAAAAGCAATCGCACTGTTCGAGACCCTCTCCCCGCCCCCAACGGGGCCGAACCCGTTCACTAACTATAGTAGCCAGGCTCGGTACCCTCCAAACCTATGGTACGTGTCTCTGTAGCTCCCTCGACGACGCACGGCTTCGTCGCTCCTACCAGGCGGCCAGCTAATCAGCCATGGGAGTCCGCCTCGCGTGAGAAATCGCCACTTGATTTCACCACGTAGACCCTTTTCTCGGCTGGAGGTGTTTGGTTTGATAGGCAGAGTCTGGAGAAGGGAAGTGTGAGATGACGCGACAGCCACAGGGGATGGCATTAGGATCAGTCGCGCTGGTGCTGAGGGAGGAGAGGAAGGAGAGTTTACGGGGAAGGATTGAGGAATGAATCAATAGGTGGATGGATGGAGATTTCATTCCTCAAAGGACGAAAGCAAGTAACCAACGAATTTAATACGAATGGCTTTACCTCGTAACTAACCAGGTAATTCCCTCCTAGAATGCTGGACAACTAGATGTCAGCTATTCCAACTGGTAAACCATCGCGCTTGCGTCCCACCTTCATAAAGGACAGATAATCTGTACGAGTGATTTGGGTGGCTTGTATTGCTGCCATCTTCCTCTGTAGCTTCGCCCGAGCGACCAGGTAGGAGAATCTTGTCTCCTGCTCAATCAGGGCTTCTAGGTGTCCGGAGGCGCATTCACCCTCACTGGCAAGTCAGGTTTCAATTGCTCTGGTACCTGGGCTTTGTTCCAGCCAGTGAGACTGGAAAGCAGTGCTGGTCGTGTTTGTCCAGCTCCTGTTCCGGATATTAGAAGAGTGCATCTTATGTGGCTCCAAACCCGGTCCCGAAAAAAAATCCCTTCTTGCCCGACAGAAACACCCTCGTTGAGCGTTGCTCTGTTCGAGGTATTGTTTCTCCTATTTTTGGGTTCGGGTCGTCTACGATCCGGTCCTGCGCTCTTGCAACACACTCGGTGGCAGGTACCAAGCTGGTAACCAAAACAGTCGATAAAACTTTTGCTGCACGCACTGAATCCTTTGCCGAATGTAATCCTCCCTGAGCAGATGTAAGCTGTGGGTTCTGGTAACAACATTTTGGCGGAAAAAGCGCCAATCCTCTGAGAAAGTCTTGGGTCAGCGTCTCCTCTTCCATGTCGTTTGAAGGGTGGCGGGAGACGGTGTCGTTGTAGAGAAGCGGAGTCCCCAAGAATGAACGCTTGATTCCATTTTGAGCAGCCTTTCATCCATTCTGTGAGTCCGCGCGGTGCTGTTAACTCATTACAGTCGCGTTGTGTTTGTATCTTTCAATCTCATCTTCCAGATCAGCGTAGCCTTCCGTCCCAATCGACAGCCAACGACCCTAAAATGCCCCGTATGCCGTCTCAGCGTAGGTATCCTCTCTCATCTCGAACTGTTTGCGATTTGGGTCTGAACCTTTGACATTGCCGGCATTGGATTTCCTCTTCGCTTCCAGTACTCTGGTACAGGTGTAGATCCGCCCACTCTCTTGATCTCCGTCCAAGACCTATCGGTTCATGTTTTCAATCTCACGAAGCGGAAGCTGTGTCATGAGCGCCTCGATGGCTCGAAGATTTCTGTCGTCTGTCTCTTGGTCTTCCTCCTCAAGAGATCGGTCACGTTCCTTCTGGACATCACAAAACAACCGCAGTGATTCGGGAAGACTCTTGCCGGCGTAGCCAGACCCAAGCAGTGCGTCGACGTCCTCTGTCTCAGACTGGAGGTTAAGGTGCTCTCGACCGGGAGGGAGCTTGTCAAAGCCATTGATCGGACACCATGACAGGAGCTCTGGAGTCTCTGGAGCAGCGGCCTGAAGGAATAGGTGTTTGAGACGTTGAGGGTAAGCTCCTTGAGATTTCTCAATCCAGAGAAGTCGAATGCATCTTTCCAATACTCTGACCCGAGCTCGGCGCCATCTGGGACTGTTAGTCTCACAAGCGTCATTCTTGGCTGCAGGCCCGTGACCAGTTCGATCGCTCGCAGTATCGTTTCATGTTCTCCCTGTGCAGAGGCTGCCTCGATGTGACTAGGAAAGTGCAGACACCATTCAAGAGAAGCGAGAGAGAGGGGAGCGCTGCAAAAATTGCGGCATGAGTTGGCTCTTCGATCCAACATCTGGCGAGCTTAAGTTTGTTGAGAGTTGAGGAGTGTTTCGTGGTGGAATCTAGCTACACTTGACTTAGGTCGGTGCCTTCTAGTGCTAAGTCCATAAGCTTCGAGGCATTCAGTAAAGGTCGAATAAAGGGATTTGTTAACCTGGGTCAGAAGTTCCAAAGCCTCAAATAGCAGTCCCACAACCGATTGCGACGGTTTGACCCCATTGAGAAGCCAGAGCAGTTTCAAATACTCTGACCAGACCTTTACGACGAATATCACCTGAACAATATGCCTTCGACCAAATGCACAAGGACTCCAGGTTTGGGCATGAAGAGGTAAGTCCCACCATCTCTTGAACTTTTTCATGAATATTCTCGAGGCATCGGTAATCGGGAGGAAGTTCTAAGTGGTGAGCATAGTGCGGCCGACGTGGATCGCGACTTAGATACTTCATGAGTCTGTTGTACTCTCCCCGGTCCTGGACGGAGACGCATCTCCACCAGAGAGGCTTAGATAGATGGAATGCCTTCTTGCAGGTTGCACGGAAGTTTTCAATTGCATCCTCGTAGAATTCTGGGCTGAGATGCCCATCATGGCTGTGGGGCGGCGCTAAGTTCTTGACTACTTGTTATAGGACTTCGTCCGGAAGGTCCAGAAGCACACTTTTTTGACCGTCTCCGTGTGCCGCCATGTCTGCCACGGGATTCTATCCGAGGAAGGTAGAAAAGGGAGGTAGTTGGTGTTCAAGAAGGCGAAAAGCAAAAGCAGCGAGGACAAGACGGCGGACGGCGGACGGCGGACTGTGGAGGTGGAGATAGAGATGGGCGGAAGCGGCGAAGACGCATCCGCTGGCGCCGCCAAGAGAATGGATGATGCTGCTTTTACTGGAGAGCAGTCAGTAAAGACAAGTTCGCTCGACACTTGCCTCGCAGCCCTAACTCGTTCCTTCGCCTTCTCAGCCCGATTTCAAGTCGGCATCGACTCGCTCGACAAGGTTCGATGGAGAATTGCTCAGTTCCTGCTACAGGGCCATTCGGTCGAGAAGAGCAGCCTCCGAGACAGTATGCCGATGATACGGTCAAGTTCCTTTGAGTAACTGAGACCGCAGATCCTCCTAAAAAACGACAGATGCGAGATCGAGCCGATTCGACCGAAGCACAAGGCTGCCTCTGTTGAATCATGGATCAAATGGTAGGCATCAGAAAGGCATATGTAAAGGATCGCTGTCATGGCTCCAGAACAGCCGAACACCCGATCTATCAAGCAAAGGTTACTCTTTGTTCGCACAAGAGGCAACCCATCAGAAACGACCAGCAACAGAATGTCGGGAACATTGGCCGTTGTTAGCCAATCTGGCAGTTCTATCAGCTTCTTCGACCTTGGGTCGGGCGAAAGGACGGCATACATGACAGACATCATCCCGGAACCGCATGAACTATTTGTTCGATAGCAAAAGACATGTCATGTACTGCAGCCACGCCTACCATCACGGACACTACTGGTCCCATGGAGACAACGGCCATCAATTCTTCGTCATCGATCCCAATAAAAAGGAGGTCGTTGACGTAATTGAAACGAGACCCGCACTCGGCCCTCATGGCCTAGTTCTTGATGAGAAACAAGACGTCCGATGGTGCAGTTATGAAGAGCATGAGTCCAGCTCCAGTGGAGGAGTGATTGGCATCGACCTGAACACCGGCAAAGTCATCAAACAAGTCGAGAGCTCGACGAAGACCCATTGGTTCGTCGGGACGCCCGACGGGAAGTAGGCTTCCACTTGTAACAAAACTGCACCATTCATCTCCGTGCTTGATTTGGAGAACCAACGCATGATAGCGAAGATCGAGAGCCCTGGCGGAACAGAAGAGTCCAGTATCTCACTTGAAGAAAAATATGCCTATTTTCCAACACCCGGTACTCAGTTCGGCAAGATCCCAGAAAGTCCACAAGTCCTGATTAGCGACACTGCGATAGACAAGATTGTGGCCAGGATCGCTCTGGAATCTGGAGCTCTGTCGACATATGTTGCAGGAGACGGAAAGATTCTCGTAGGCGAGGATCGATACGTCAACGGCGCGGCGGCCAAAAGGGCGACTGTCCGTGCACGGCTCCAAAACAAACAAGCTGGTTGGAGCAACCGATATCGGAAAGATGCCGCTCACTCTGCGCGCTTCTCCAGACGACAAGCTCGGATTCACGGCGAACATCTTCGAGGGATCGGTGTCCGTGGTTGATATGTCGACAATAGAAGTTGTCAAAATGGTCGTGGTAGACACAGAGCGCAGCAAGGTTTCAAATATATGTCAAGGCGCACATGGAATGGTCTATTTCCCTCGAGACTGATGGTGTAAATGGCTCTGGAGCAAGTTGTCGACATCGCCATTGCCTTCCTAGGACGTTTTTCAACGCCACCAGGGCCCGCAGAGCGGTATGACTGTGATCTAGGAGTACCTTTATAGGCGATACAGCTTGTTCTTTGGAGCGGGCCTAACGTAGTGGATTTGTGGCGTTCGCAGTCAGCCATGTCAACTTGATTCCTGGATGAGAAAAGATGCTGGACGACCCAATGGACAGCTTTCAAATTGGGTCGATATTTTATTGGCCTCAACTTGCTCTGGTGGAATATGTCCGATTCTGTACACCTTGTGGCGCCAGACATATTACAAGCTACCTTGAACCTTTGCTTCACCCTCGTGTCTGGTGTATCCGTCTTTTTGTCATGACTTTCCGCCGGCCATCTTGTTTACCGTCCCGCCGATCGCGCCGTCCTCTTTGAACATGCCCCCGATCATCCCATTTTGATCCAAGGGACCCCCAATCTTTTGTGCCGCGCCGCCAATGGCACCCCTGAGTTTTTGCCAAAATCAGAGTGACATCCTACGCTCAAGGAGACGAGTGGATGAGCAAACGAGGGAAAGGGGGCCAGCGTGCCGACTCACTCTACTGTGAATTGCTTTCCGACCGAGCCTTCGGAGGTCAGCATCGGGGCCTATGGGGAAAGAAATTGCATGGTCAGTGGTCCAACTGGTGCCATTGATCCTTGAGAGAGGGAGAAATGGCATAAGCAGGCGTGGTCACAGCCGTTAGTGATGGCGTACTTTAGCACCTGGTGCAGGGTTATACTTCATGACGGGGTTGTTGTGTGGGTGTTCTTCCTTCGACTCAGGTCCCTGCCCCGTGAACTTGGAGGTGTCGGTTTGACCTTTTGCGATGTTGGGCGTCATCCTGGTCTGCGGTCTCGTAGGCGACGATGTACTGTAGAGTGATTGATCTTTTAGGTGGGGGAATTCGGGGACAAAATGGATCAGTATCGAGGCCGGGGATCAAATATGTTGGGATAGCAATACATTCAATGACCCAGGATGATGGAATCCAGTCATTTTCTATGACCTACCACGTGAAATACCTCTGGTTGTCTCCTCCGCATTGCCCTTGTTATTGCGTCATCTGGGACCGAAACATCCTGGGCTCGCCGGTACCAAAAGGCCTTCGGAAGTGTAGATCATACGGAGGGTTCGAGAGCGAGCAGGCATGGAAGCGTCATAGCATGCTTGGTGGTGGATGGAAGACTCTGCCGTCCGCTTCGTTAATTGTTAGTCTACCAGGGGCGAAGCATCGGCTAAACCATACCTAGTTTCGCCAGTATCAAGCCTACTGCGCCCAAGAAAGTGAGTGGCCATGTTCGGTGTACCGAGTACTTGGTATAGATGTCCTGCACTCCACTTTTAGACTGCACAGACCCCGGCAAGCGATGGATGATAAAGAACAACAAGCGAATTGGCAGCAATCGTTTGAATTGGACTTTTCATTAACCTTTGGCTCCAGATGAGTGGTTAACCCAATAGGGCGCCGTACATTGCACTATGACATTCATGCCAGTGTTCCCAATGATGGTGAATGCTTGCGCCTTGGCCCGCTTTTTGGGGAACACGTTGACCCGTCCAGGCACATGTTTGCAAGCACATAGAAGATTCCCCTGACGAAATTGGCCTCGAGTCACAACCAGGTAAGGGTCCCGGCGCAATCAATTAGCAAATAGCATGGGTCTTCCCGTGTTTGCCCTGAAGAGAGTGCTTCTCATCTTTGTAAGCACCGATATTATGGCCGGTCCTACCTGTTTTGGTGTGGTGCTTCTTTACGTGTCTGCCAAACCCAGTCAGTAAACTTGTGACAAATATGTTTCATCAGACAACCTACTCCTGGTAACGCTCCATAGTCTTTTTGTCCATCTCTCCGAGCACTTGCAATGCCATCTTAATATCAGTCACCAGAGAATCACAGCGTTGCTTGCTAAAGTCCTCACGGACCACAACACGCATCAATTTGAGGCTCTCGCTGTGAGGGGCCATTGTGTAGGCGGGAATGATCCAGCCACGTTCTCGAAGCTGATGGGCAATTGCAAATTCGTCAAACATCTGCTCATTGTCGGGGTCAAGACGGAATGCAACCACAGGGAGGGATCGACCACCACCAGGCGACATGATGATGAAGCCTAGCGCTCGGAGCTGAGCAGCCAGGTAGTCAGATGTCCGGGTGAGGTTGAGCATGATGCTGCGATAGCCTCTCTTGCCCAGTCGAATCATTTGATAGTACTGGCCAATAACGTGGCTAGCACCTTTGCTGAAGTTCAAGGTGAAGGAAGCCTGGTCAGCGCCGAGATAGTTGATGTTGAAGACCAGTTCCTTGGGCAAGTACTCGGGTGACCTCCAGACAACCCAGCCGACACCAGGATACACCAGACCATACTTGTGACCCGAGACATTGATGCTGACAACCTTGGGCAGGCGGAAGTCCCAGACCAGGTTGGGATTGACAAAAGGAGCGACAAAGCCGCCGGATGCCGCATCCACATGAATTGGGCAATCAATCTCTCTCTCAACCAGCAGGTCGTTGATCATTTGGGTGTCTTCGTACTCGCCGGTATAGGTCAGACCGAGAATGGTACAGATACCAATGGTGTTCTCATCAACCAGGTTGACAGCTTCCTCCGGGTCAATGACGTAGCGGTCCTCGGTGCAGTACACATATTTCTCCTCAACGTCAAAGTAGCGAGCAGCCTTTTCCCAGCACACCTGGACGGCACTGTTCATGACTATGTTGGGTCTGGAGAAATCCTTTCCTTCTGCTTTACGTTTGTTTGCCCATCTCTTTTTCATGGCTAAGACAGCAAGCATGATGGCCTCGCTCGATCCGATCGTGGAGGTTCCCATTGCGTTCTTCCCGTCCTCAGACTCAGGCGCGTTGAAGAGACGAGCAATCATGTTGACGCAACGATTCTGGATCTCAGCTGACTGGGGGTATTCCTCGTAGTCAATGAAGTTCTTAGAGAAGGAGTCGGTCATGAGCTTCTCGGCTTCGTCTTCCTGCCCGCAGATCGTAAGCCTGCTATCAACCTTGCGGGGGGCGGTAGTGGACAACATACCATGAACGTCGTGACAAAGCTTGCCAAGCTGGTTGCAAAGTCTCGTCAGCCTGAACGCCGACGGTTTCGCGATATTGTACTCACTTCAGCATAGGATTGCCATCCAGACTAAGCTCATCCTTGATCATTCGATACGCAATCTCTTTTGGCATCTCTTTCTCGGGGATCTCGTGCGATGGAAGATCCTCGGCAGCAAAGCGGGAGCCATAGACAGACGTGGAGAACTCATCTTCCCCAGGAGGCTCCAGAGAGATGTGCTCGAGACCAGGAACCACCGAAGCACGACGTCGAGGGTGGCCAAATTCACTACTCTCGCCCTTTGAAGGGTCTTTTGTAACTTGGGCTAGGTGAACCATGTTGACTGATCAGTTCTCAGAAAGCGACGGAGTGTCGAAATGAATGAGAGAAGATGGAGGGTTGAAGATAGGACGGAAAGTAGTGGAACAGAAGGAAAGCTGTGACGTTATGACGAGCAGCCCGCCGGTTGATTGAAGGCAAGCGGTGAGAAGAAGAAAAGGAAAGGAGGATTCACGAGTGGAAGAGTATGGAGGGCAGAGTTGAGCTGTGCAGGATTTTGTTCTGGTAGCAAAGGGGCGAACAGCTCAATTGAGGACAAGTACAGCTGGAGCTGCAAGTGACAGCGTGATGATTGGGTGAGCAGCAAGCTCAGGCTCTCATTCAATTCCCTGACTTGCCGTCACTGAATGACGAAGCTTCAGGGAAGTTCGGATGGTCAATGCAGATGACTGAGAGAGGGATGGGATGATGAGAGCAAGTTCCAACATTTGGGTGACAATTGGATGGATTGGTGGTGTGCGTGGTGGGGAGAGGAGGAAGACAGGTGAGGGGCAGCAGAGCTGCCAGCGAGCTGTGACCAGCGAGCCCAGGGAGGCTACTCCGATAGGCCCACGGGAGCGCAGGGGCTGACCTTTGTACCTAGGCAGTTAGGCTCCTGACTAACCCGTTAAACCAGTGGCCAAATCCCCAGGGGTGCGCCTGCTCATTGGGGCCCAAAACACCACCAGGATAATCGGGTCTTGAACGCATGGCACGAAACATCACTCCCTCGTCCGCACCCACTCCCACTGGGGCAATCGAACAGGCCTAACGATCCCAAGATCATCCTCAACCACAACTACACCCACGGGACCTAGCGAGCTTGATATTGCTTGGTTGTTCGTCCCGCGTCGGCCCTTGCGCAGATGCAGTAGCTCCTAGCGACTTCCTTCCGCTCAAGGTTCCTCGATCGATTTCTGGCCCCCCTGCTTTGTCCCGCGGCCTTCTCTCGTGTCTCTGATCGAGGAGGACCCAATGGTGAGGTAGAGTCCGTACAGCGAGCTTTGAAGTCGATTGACCAATGCAAACTGAAGTGGGTGATTCATTTGTGCGTGGCGATGTAATAGCTGACCAAGATGCAGTTACATTACTCGATACATCAGGCAAAACAATTCAGGCATGGTCAATGCTGCCTCGTAAACCTTCATGCCGCGGCACCCACCCAAACCTGCCTCACGATCCCTTCTGCCTCAGCTTTGCTCTGCTCTTTCATGTCGCTGAATCCAGATTGTGACAGACGGATGGCATGAACATCGTTCAAAGAAGCTCGAGCTGAAGAATAGGCAGGTCCAAGATGATGATACTTGTCAGCTCCTGGAGCCCCGTACATCTGTTGCAGTCGGGCTCGGACATCCTCTCGTCTTTGACTTTCCAGCTTCAGCGCGGTTTCACTTGGACTAGTGAGCCTGGAGCCCTTCTGGGTCGTCTCTTCGTCCTCCTCGACGAATAGCAGTTTTTGTTTCAGCGAGAGGCGTCTGCCCAAAGGCCAACTAAACTTCCGGGCCAAACGACTGATAGGTCCGAGAGACATTAGATCCAGCTCCTCACGGTCTTTGTCTGCAGGGATCCCTGGTCCGATGTTCAGCAGGACTGAGATTTCGAGATCTTCCCCATAGAGGCGAAGTGCTTCGTCGAGAGCCAATGAAGAAATCGGGTGGGACTGCGGGAATATCTCGTCGTAGAAGACGGTGTTTCCGATTTTATATGGCGTCAAGAAGAATTTGGCCGCCCCAGCAGCACAGAAAACTTCAGGAACTCGGCAGCCTTCTGGACTCGGACCCTCCAGCGACCGTCCTTTTTGGTTCTCTTGGACACGGTAGGACCTGAACAGGGCATATGTCGGGTGCTTGTTCTTCTCTCGACGCTGGACCACTCCGGTCGCAAACCTGGCTTGGTCAGGAAGTGTCCGTTATCAAGGAAAGAGTACATACGAATATTTGCATCTGCTGTTTCTGTCACCTCCTTCTGATGTGCCGCCTTCTCTGGGCAGGAGCGCCGGATCCAAGCCATATCGCTGGAGGGTCTCTCCAACGACAGTCAGGAGCCGACTCTGATTCAGCTTGAATGGGCGATTCCTCCTCGAAGACGACTGGCTCATCTCGACATCTGTCTTCGTCGCGATTTCCATATAAATCGCCGTACATGTGGCAATATCGAGGCGGTATCGTCCTAGCAACAATGCAATCCAGCTGGTACCGTGTCAGGAGGGGAAACTGTCACATTTCGCATTTCTATTGTACTGACCCGCCAGTTCCAACACCGCCGATGATGTCGAACAATTCATGCGGAGCGGGAGGCCGATCAGCTCCATTTTGATTGGCAATAGCCCTGCAGACAGCGTTGAGACTACTCAATGTCGCCAGTGCTTGAAGCCCACCACCATCTGGCCGAGTCAGTTGATTCAAAGACAGGCAAAAACGGGCAGCAAGTTAAGTGTTTGCACATACCCAAGGTGAGTATTTTTAGTGGCTGCTGTCGACTCATTCTTGGGGTGTTGTTGTATCGCAGAAGTTTGGCAGAAAGGTGTCGAAATTGGGACACTCGAGCAAGATCAAAATCCTTCCCTCCTTCAAAGTTGTCCTGGCCAGATTTCGAGGTTGAAATATTGAGCAGGCTGAGTCTTTGCTCAGCCGGGGAAGCCACGACAGACCTGTCACGGCCAAAGCACGAGTGACCTCTGTGACTGGGTGTACCTCCCCCCAAGTCTTAGAAACGACCAAAATCCCTCGTTGCGTGAATTTTCTGTGCACAGCCACGTTATCCGCTGCCTTGTTGATGGCCAGCTGGAATACTGGTAGAGTCCTATTCACTGGGAAATGGCCCCCAGGTGCACTGCCGGTTGCCTTGCATTGCCTCGTGAACACCCAGCCTGACCGGACCTTGGCGCTGTCCTCGCCTACCAAACCAGGGTGTACAACAGCAGCCTAAGTCCGCCTTGGGTCTGGGACTCGCACCTTCTGAATGATCTTCGTTGAGCCGCCTCCGTGGTTTCAGGCTCTGGCTTAGGGCGTCGACTACTCATGGAATTTTTGCAATTTCCATCTGCGTGGGCTGGGGCCAGTCCGAAGACACTTTTGTGCTGTCAGTGTGCCTCTTACGTCAAAAAAATGTCCAGAAGCATTTCCTCTCTCGTACAATGCCCCCAGACTGTCCACTCATTGATGAAGTCTCTTTCTCCTTTAAGTACCTGGACCTTCCTTTGTTGCTGCAACACGGTTCCCAGCTAATATCGAACATTATAATCTCAACTCACCTGCCTGGACATTCATTATCTTGACGAATAACCAGCCAGCCGACTTGAAAAGTAAGTGCTAAAGTCTGATCCAAGACAATCGCCATGTCCAATGTGGCCAAAGTGTGCTCAATAATGAGGAAGTGGCCGCTATATCGAAAACAGCTAACGGCATAGGTAGAGGACAGGATACCTCTATTTTCAAAAGATAAACGACACCCCCTTACCAACGGAAGGCCACCTCTGTTCTAACAGCGAAGGACTTCTAACGTGCTCTCGTCCTTTAAGTTAGCCAGTCAAGTGTACGGACGATCAAGTTGCACCACGATCATGGGGCCACAGGCCGGTGGTGAAGAAGTCTCGCGGTCCTCTTGGCCCATTGCAATGTTGTCACTTGGTATCCCAACCTTCCAGCTCTAACCTAAATAATAGGCTGACGGTTTGCTTAGATGGTGGTGGTGTACGCGGTCTTTCTTCGTTACTCATCTTGCAACGCCTCCTGCTTCTTGTGACGCAGATATTAGTCGAAAATGGACAGATACCAGATGGGCATACGCCGCATACAATGGTAAACCCTCAGGAGATCTTTGATATTGCCGTCGGCACTAGCACGGGCGGCCTTATCGTCCTCATGATGGTCAAGTTGGATATGTCCTTGGACAAATGCATTCAACAGTACAAAAAGCTCTCTCGAGATATCTTTTCAAAGCAGCGTCCACTGCTAAAGCGAATCTTCGGTTCTGATTGGTCAAAATATTCGGGGAGGAGGCTCGAAGCAGCTGTTGAGGGATTGTTGAAGTCCAGCAATCAACCGGTCTCGCTTGAGATGCGGTCCAAGACTCAGCAAAACACCATGAGAGGGTATGTCGCCATCCTGTCCCGTTAGTTGCCCAAAGCCGATTGCTGATACTTCCCGAGCACTGTCCTCTGTCACGAGATGCCACAGCTTCACTCCGTTTTCTTTTGCACGGATGAATGTCAGGGACCATATCAACAGCACATGCTGAAGTGCGATCTCAAAGTCCGGCATGCTGCACGAGCCACTTCTGCCGCTCCATCATATTTTGAAGAGGTGATCATCGAAGAAAGAGCTTTCGTGGATGGAGGCTATGGCAAGACCAATAACCCCTCATGGGAGAGTCGAATCCACTATGAAATGAATCACGAGGTTCCCACGAATCGGCAACTCGTCATGATCAACATTGGGACCGGAACTCTACCACAGAATGCCGATGTTGCACGTCTCCGAAAACGCCCGTGGTGGACAATGCTCTTGCCGAAAGGCCTGGTCAAAGCGTCTGGTCTCTTCGCGGACCTTATCAGCATGGCGACAGAATCCGAGGGCGTAGCAAGCGACTTAGAATATCTGTCGAAGGATAATCCCGAGCGACTTTTCTTCAAGCGATTCAGCGCCAATACCGGCATCCACGACATCAAACTAGACGACTGGCAGGCCGTGGCAGGCGCTGACGGCTCCAGTGTCATCGAGCAGAGGACAGAAGCCTACCTGAGCGACCCGGTTGTACTCGGTGAGCTGAAAGCAGCGGCCGAAAAGTTGGCCGAGATCTATGTCAAACGTCAAGAGCTGAAACGTCAAGGGCACGCTGGCGATATACCCTCTGCGGCCAACAATGTAAACAACCAGGAAGGGATTGATCTTTCTGTCTCGGTGGTCGTCCAGCCGGCAGCGGCTAACGCAGTACCCAGCCTTGTCACAGGATCAGAACCAACACAATCGCCTGGTCCCTCACCGCCACGGACTCCAGAGGTAGGCTGGGGACCGCCATTGCCACCAATCGACACGGCCCAGAATAAGGAAATCCTGCAAGGCCAAGGGGGTCAGTTTGAACAAAGCATTCTGCCCACGGCGTCTCTGCTCAGCCCGGCATCTCCTAATCAATCTGCGCCTAGGAAGGTTAGACGGGCTGTCACATATCCACCTAGATCAACTCCACCAGAGGAGAAGTGAGCCCAACAGCCAGTTCATCGAATACTTGTTTTTGGCTTGGTCGATGGTGTCGAGGGGTCATCGCGGGTTCGATAAGAAATGTTGTTTGTCAGGAATCACAGCACAAAGGAGGAGTCCATGTGGCCCCTAGATGTACAATTAGCGTCGTGAATAGTTGAGATAGACGTCTGACTGTGGGAGCTGCCCGGGCTGCCCGCCAGCTTGCCGCCGGCAATCAGGTACTGGGTAGATATGCGGGTTCGGAAAAACGCTAATGCGGGTTCGGTGGCACCAACTCGATCAACTAAACTCAACCACAACCTTTCTTCTTATATCCCTTCCACCCCTATCTTTTATTTTTATCCTCGGATTCTCTGTGCAAGCCTGCCGCGCAAAATGCCCCTTTCCCAATCATCTATGGCTGAATAGGGCGCATCATGCGACCGCCCTGACTTCGGTTCCAGCTCGAGTGCGTCCACCGCTCTTCCTCAGGCGAATGAAGAGAGGCCGTGGCTGAGCCCCATGTCATGTCCAAACGCTCGTCCGACCGTGCCGGGCACCAAACCCCAGCCTCCACGTTCACACTCCTCCCGTTCTGCGGGGAAGCGGCCTTGACCATGCCTATACAAGATGGCTGACCGTTCGTATTCTCCTAGACATTTCCGGCATAGGCTGTGGCTCTTTCTCCTCCACCAGCTCCACGCTCCACATGTTGCCCGATGGGAATCCTCGAAGCTAGTACAATCCTGCCTGGACTGTCCATTCGAGCTAACTATTGACAGGAAGCGCCAACAACTTCCTTGCGGGGTCCTGCCAGTGAGCCATTGCCAATGTCCCTGGAGATTGAATCCGAGCAGTTGCAGAACGCCATGCCTCTCGGCCATTGGTGTCTCTGACTTGTCACAGGAGCTCAACTGACCTTGGCCAAGGCAGGCTCTGAACCCTCCACTTCTTTGATCCCGGATGACTTTGCGCCACGCGACGTCTAGTCCGTCCCGCTAGAGGAAAAAGTAAATGGAATTATTTCTGTGACCGATGCACGGATGCATTCGAGATGTCTACTGCATCAGGGGCCAGCAGTGTAACCCTGACCAGTTAGCATTCGTTCCTTCACCTTGCCCACATCAGACAAGCTGGGGTTGTGGTTCTGTTTTTTGTTCCCGGCCCCACGTCCGGTCAGCCACGGCGCGCTCGAAGCTGGAGGGATGCGACCAGGGCCAGGTGTTTGCGTGGAATCAAATAAAGAGGGTGGAAGCTGCTGCGGCCTGACCTCGATCGGCCACGGTTGAAATAGCTATCCCTGCACCGACTCGAAGCTCTTACTCTCCCTCTGCGTGTCTCTTGTTCGTTTTACAACCGATCTCAGGAATTAACAAACGTCCGAGATGGCGACTGACCTTCAACACACCCCTACCTCCACGGAGAGGGACATGATCGAAGAGAAGCCTGCGTTGACACATACCGTCTCTTCTGGCGCGATCTCTATCAGCCCGGAGCTTTTCGAGAAGGTGGGCATATGGCTTCATGCCTCATCAAATAACTCACACATGGAGTCAAGCTCGAGCACTAACGCTGCTGGATCTTGACAGCTCTACCTTACTCCCAAAGTTCCTCATGCCGGCGACAATATCAAGCGGTTTGCCAACCCGACTCCGCTCGGCTTTGTTGGGTAAGCTCTAGAAATGCCATCTTTAGGTACAGGTATCCTAATGAGCAGATAGCTTCGTGATCTCGACAATGACTTTCGCTATGGTAATGATGGGCTGGGGTGGCGCCAGCGGTCTCTCGCCCGTTGTGTAAGTCCCTACATATCGCCGCTATTGCTGCAGCATTGCCCTGTAAGGTCGAGCTCGCTAACTTCTTTTGATACAGCGGCATTTTCTTCTTCGTCGGCCCAGTTCTCCTGGTTTTAACGGTAATCTTTGAATGGATCATGTAAGTCATGAAACCTTTGACCAGTCTTGCGGACCTTTCTACAGAACCCCCTTTCTTCCCAATACTATTTTGTTTTTGGATTCTAACGTCAGACCAGGGGTAACTTCTTCTCCATGATGGTCTGCGGTCTCTTTGCCGTCTTCTGGCTCTCCTTTGGCATGCTCCAGCTTCCTACGCTCGGTCTCGCGGAACCATACTCTCCCAGCGGAACCAACGCGGTGATTGGATCAGCTTCGAAGGAGTACAATGCTGTTATCGCCCTGTACCTGATTGTATGGGGCTTCGCGTTGTTTACCTTTTTCATCTTCACGCTGAAGACGAATCTTGTATTTGCGCTCATATTCCTCTTTGTGACTCTGGGTGCGTGGG